GTTTCATATTGTGACAACAGGGAACGTGCTTTTATGTTTGACTATAGAGAAAGAACATCAAATCACTCGGCAATCTGATTAATACTCGGGGGCTACTCCCCCTCGTACAAATCAGATAGCCTCGTGTTTCGGTGCTCTTTCTATTACTTATTTCTTATGTAGTAGTTATATATTATCTTCTTGTAAATATATGTAAGGAACTAAATGCAGTACAATGAACTGTAATTACAAAAGCTATATTATGTTGTTACTAAAATAAATTGTTGAAATGTTTTTACAGGAGAGAGTTTTATATCAGCTTTAAGCTTTTGTTATGTATTGGAATTTTGTTATAAAATATGGAAAAAGATACAAATATTGTTTAAACCAAGCAAAATCAAATGATGATTGAAACCCTAAACCTACTGGATTTGAAAGTGAATTACTATTACAACCAGTATAGACCAAGGGAAGTCTTCCTAACAACCTGATCAGGCCCTATTATGTCGGCAGCTCATTTTTGTTTGTATTTTTAGTAATAATATCCCAAAAACTTCGAATGAACTGTTTCAAATTTAAATCATTATAAATTCATCATACAATTGCAGCGGGTTAAGGATTAAAAGTGTAGTATCAAAAGCTATGAGACCATATTACAATTAAAGGATCAACTAATGGATGGGAGCTTGATGTAACAAATACTTCATACAGCATATTGGTAAAAAATCTGATCATGTATTTATATCATGGGTAAGTATATTTCTAGCTTAGATTATGTCGTGACTCTCATGTATACGGTAGATCAGGTTGTTTACCTATGGTATATGGTGTTAATGAAGAAATGGATCCCATATAATTATGACTCCCCCTCGGTCTGGTTAATATCTTTAAAGAATATTGACTACCCGGTCATATTATATTGACCTACCGGTCAAAGTATTATGACCTCAAACACGAAGAAAAAATACTATTGCAAAGACTTGTGACCCCTTGAATAATGCCCCCAATCATTTGTTGTCATCTTGTAAGATTAGGTGACCTGTTTCATAATAATATGACCCCTCTACAAGAAAGCATCGACGATTTAGATGATGAATATTGGTAAATAAGAACCTGATTCATGGCAACTGCAGTGTGTTTGTTTGTTTCTGTGTTTGTTTGTTTGTTTGTTTGTTTGTTTGTTTGTATGTATTAAAATTTTAGTACAATTGTGGTAGATAATTTCTGTGAAGTATTGCAAAAATAAAATCTGCAACTTATGACGATTTTAAATATATTTCAAGCACTTTTATGCAAAGGAAAATAAAGAAAACGAACCACCAACCTTCTATGATGCTTTCTTGAAAAATATAACAAAGGGATTAGGATATTTGGTTAGAAAAACGGCTGCACAATACTAACATTAATGTCATATGCAAGTTAGCATCGTTTAGTTTGGTAACAGCTTAAAATAATTTAGTTTGGCATACAAACTGTTTTCAATTTGAAAACCGCGTATGGTGCCTCCCTTAACCGTATTCCTATTGTTCGATGCTCTACTGGGTTCTTTTTAAAGTTGTTCTTTGTGGCTTGAGAGGTTCATATTCTCTCTCTTCTCGGGAAGTAAAGTGTCCTCAAAATTTGAGATTTGATATGTTTTGGGGTGAAGTGTCTTGACGTGTCTGATCCCCTTTCAAAATTCCATTTTATTTAGTTCCGCTCATTGTTTTCTCGTTTAGGGCACACGCATTCTTTTACTTGGGGACCAAACGCCGCTCTTCATGGAATGACATGAAAGTATCATATTGAAGGTTCCATGATAACCACCGTATGAATACATCTGCGGATGTTTCTTAATTCAAAATTTCACCATTACCATGATTACATGTTGAATTCTGCTTAAGCTGGTGCTAGGGGCGTAGACGGTAAATTGCACTTTCCATTACCGACCATGAACAGGCTCAATCAAACCGAGTCTGTACAATTTTCAATTTTGTCTTGTTGGGCTTTCTTTAGTGATTTTTCTCTCTATTTGCTCCATCGCCGATATACCTGGTCCGAAAGTTGCGATCTATGAAGCACTTTGCATGCATAAGTAAAAATAATTGAACAATTACACAGTTTTAACAAAGTTAACCTTGGTATTACTAAACGTACTAAATCAATGTTTAATATATGAAGAGAATGACATTTCTACCAGTTTATTTCTAATTTTGCTGAATAAATAAAGAATAAATAAGATTTTTAGATGTTTGGTTATTTCCCTCAAATCATCTCTGGCTTCTTCTTAGGAATTATAAAATATGTAAACTACTATGGAACACTATAAGTAAGCACCAGGACGCTCCTGTACAATTGTCTCTCAATTGGCATAAATTCGGTGAACCTAATTTTACCGAGCGATTAAATTTGTCTTTAATTTTAAGGTTAAAGTTGCAAATAATAAGTTGTTTAGCCCGTAGTTGCACGGAAGTGATATTATTTTAATGATTAGATAAGGTATAACTATTACAATATTGTTCGTGATCCAGTTGTTAAGACCTTTAGAGTCATCACTTTGATATTATAGTGAATGTCACTGGATACCACTGAAACGTTGAAAAAAAAAGAACAAAATGTATGGAATAGAGAAAATAAGAATCCCTAAAGAAAGCCCAACACGGCAAAATTGAAAATGTTGCAGGCTTGGTTTGATTGATCCTGTTTATGGACAGTACTGTCAAGTGAAAACTATCGCTAACGCCCCCTAGCACCGGCTTAAGCTAAATTCAACATGAACTGGTACAATTTTGAATTTTGAAACATCCACAGATGTATTCATATGGCGGTTATCATGGAGCCTTCAATGATTCCATGAAAAGCGCCATATTGTCCCCAAGTAAAAGAATGCGTGTGTCCTAAACAACGAGAAAACAATGGGCGGAACTGAATAAAATGGAATTTTGAAAGGGGATCAGAGGTTATGAAGCCTGCATATCACAGTACTGAATAAAATGGAATTTTGAAAGGGGATCAGACGTTATGAAAATCCGGAAAAAGGTGATCCTTCGGAAGCATTAATCACAACAAAATTACATAAGAATTGCATAAAAATACCACTAAAAATACCACAAGCACAACAATAATGTCGTGCTGAGTTCTTTAAGGATCGAAAATTTAACATCTCTAACTGAATGTACGGGACGACTTTTTACAGCCTCAACACGGCACAAACAACGCTGATGTGGCGATAAAATAGAGCAAATTAGAATCCCTAAAGAAAGCCCACATAAACACCGCAAAATGATTGAGAGGTTTACCGGGTGTCGGGATTCTGTTTTGATGCATCGTACACTATTTCGGACTGAAGAAATAAGACAAAAAAAAATTACGAGCGTAATAATTAAATGTTGCATAAGTTCAATTATGTTAAAGTCAACTTTATAATGTGTATTTGAGTCATTGATTCTAGCACTTTTAAGTGTTGAAAATTGAGTACCGGCGCTAGAGGCCGTGAGGGAATATGCACTTCTTCACTATCCCTCACGTACAGATTCAATCAAATTGACTCTGCAATTTTCATGTAATTTTGTTGTGATTCATGCTCCGATGAATCACCTTCTTCTAGACTTTTAGTGGTTAAGGTGTCTGCCCATCAAACCGGGATAATTGATTCAGCAGCTTAGTCCGGAAGGCCTACATCATGGTAGAACTAGCATAAATATGTTATATCTAAATCAGTAGTTTCAGTAAGTTTATGAGGCTGGGTATTTATTTCAACAGAAGTCAGTATTTCGATAAAAGGGGTCATATTTTCTATAGACACCGAGTGTCAGTGTTTTATTTTGTTACAATGTACACCATTTCGGATTGAAAGAAATGACAGAAAAATATATACGTTTAGCAAACGTTTGGAGCGTATAGCTAACTGTTTTTACACTTATACTATTTTACAACAAAATGGCGCAGTGTACTCATAATTTAACATAATTTGTTACCGTAACATGAACTATGTATATTGTTGGCTAACCTAAACTTTAAAACTTCCAAAGACAGAATTGTGTTTTGGATTTCAAAAACTCAAAAAACGTTTTAAAAAGAGGATTGCGGATTACTGTTACTTGTTTTTTATCACTAGAATATTGAATATCATTGGACAAATGACAGTGTATGAATAATGCATAGTGACATTTGTTTAAGGTTGCTCTGTACTTCATCGATGTGTTGATATATTTTTAGTCCTTCGGAATCATTAATTCCAATAATTTTACCGGTTTAAGATTGAATATCGTTCAAGCTGGTGCTAGAGTGGCGTAGGAGATGTTTTGCTTTTTTATTATCTCTCAAGAACAGAATCAAACAATAAAAACAGCAGAAAAGGAATATATATGTTAGTATGCTTATTTAAATCAAAGTATGCCTATGAACTTGAAAAAGGAGTTGAATGTCACTCAAAAGTTAAGGACTTCTTATATTGTGAGAACAACGACAGCTTCCAGTAGAGAAAAAATAGTTTGAGATCGATTTTATGGGGGTAAATATTCTACAGACTTCTGAGGGGGTTTTGACTTTCAGGGGGTATCTGTATTTAATTGAAAAGGTGAAACAAGCAATATCGCCTTTTAATGCCTATAGTTATATTTCACACTTATATTATAAAAAAATAAGGATGCTATGAAAGTTCCATGATAACCGCAGTATGAACACATCTGCGGATGTTTCGTAATTCAAAATTTTGCCATTCATGTTCTGCTTGAGCCGGTGCTAGGGGGCATAGACGGTAGTTTGCACTTGACAGTACCGTTCATGAACAGCTCAATCAAACCGAACCTGCAACATTTTCGACTTTGCCGTTTTGGACTTTCTTTGGGAATTCTCATTTTCTCTATTTCACGATGATAAATCAATATTTTATATATTTTATATTCCAAAAACAGATATATCGGTCTGGTAGGCAGAAAAATGTTTAGCAAAGGGGTTAATTTACATCGTCATAATCAAGTGTCGTTAACTACTTGAATATTACTTATACCATAGGGGGCGAAAAATACAACAGTTCAGTCTTTGACATGACATGTTTATTGCACAATTTTTTCAATCGTTAGTTATGTAACAACAACAAATAAAACAATAATAAATATGATAATAAATAATGATATACATATAAATTAACAAAATGATTCCCTATTTCTCATGAACACATTCTTTGCATTACAATTATAAGTTATTTTAGTGTTCCTTTTGAGGTGTCTTATTGTTTGGACATCGTCAACTTAAAACATTGTACATGTTTAACGAAACAAAGTTAGTTTTATCTAAACAACAGAGCAATACGTGGGAGTTTTAAATTTGTTATAAAACAATATTTACTTTGCTAAATACAATAAAGAAGTATTTGTCATAAATACGGTATGATACCCGATACAATAGAAATATTTACCTATGTTTGTTTATTGTAGCAGTGGACTTGTGCTTAACTTTGGAAGAACACTCTGACTTATTGAAATGTATCACTAACAACTTCGAACAAAGATCACATCACAAATAAAGTATCATTTCCATCTTAAATCACATACAATATATAAGACATTTTAATGACATAATTCATATTGCACGTTCACCTCAGATGTCATCATCCGCTCCAATTGTACCTTTTATGCATTAACCACATTCACACTTTTCCACTATCAAATCTTTATATTCACTAAACTGATATTTACCATCGTAATCATAATGCAAGATAGTAAAGGGACTCAATGCTGTTGCTACACAACAAGGTGATGGCACCTTGTTTGGGTGTTTCAAATGTAATAATGCCTTAATTCCAGCAAATGTATTGGCCGGTTTATGTCTGTAAGGACAATTACCCGCACAATAATACCCTCTGTATTCATGTGGTGCAATGACCCAGTCATCCCAACCAAGGTCAGCAAATGAAATTTTTATTGGGTAACGGCAACATTTTGTTTCGCCGTCATCCCGTCGACAATCACTTCGTCGCCGGGAACGTCTTTTTACCCGCTTCAGTATGTCTTTCTCCTGTGCGTAAATATCAACGCTTGGAGAAACGTCTGTGGAATTTGTTCCAAATGATATAGTTTCGTCGTGTTCAATCACAGTTTTGTCTATATCTACTACGTCGTTAATATCCTGTACATCCGATGCAAGTTCAATGCCAAGATTTTGAGACTGACTGTTTATCCAGCTTTGAACAGCTTTCCCAATCTCAAAATTTCCTACAGACGGTTGTTCAATATCCACCAGTTTTGAGTCGAGTAAAGTCCGTTTATAGTCACTCGAACCTTTTATTGAAAGAATTTGATAAACATTTACCCGTATCACTTTATCAACTGATAACTTATCTTTTAAGTTTTCAGGTCTCACATTTAAAAAATTAACTTTTAATTTAGCAGAGTGAACAAGAAGCTCCCTTGTGTGGTCGTCCTTTGGGTGACTAAGGTCTGACTTGAAGTAAAGTCTTATTACTTTCTCTGCAAGCCAATCTTTCTCTGATACAGCTTCTGGATACTCACCTGAAATATATATAATATAATCTTTAAATTTCCGTACCACAAAAATGCTATATTAGTTAACTTATATTTCTAATGTACGTTGTAGAAATATAAAGTTGATTAAAATAGTGTATTGAAAGGAGTAAAGAGGGTCAACAAAGAGCATTTTTTAATGTGTTAAATCTTGCGACGGTTCTAAAATACTGATATAACAATATAATAAATTAAACTGATCATCGCTTTTTATCTTATTTATTTATTTATTTATTTATTTATCTATTTATTTATCTATCTATGATAACTTTTGTACTTTATTATGGCACCGGGTTAAATAAATACTTTATTGATTAAACGATGATTTAAACCTCCTATAGCTTGTATCTTGATATCTAAGTACTTCACAAGTTGCTTTTTAAATTGGACGTTTAAATAAAATAGCTTCTATTTCAGTTATTATATTTTACATTATAACAAAAAAAAAGAGATAATTGAAAAATTGCAGGCTTTTTAGCGACCTTGGCTAGAGAATTGTTGTTAGTTAACAAAGCAAACAGATGTAAGGTATTTATCAAAGGTGTGGTAAATTGAACATCATCTTGTGTCTAAATAAACAAATTGCTATTTATGGCTCCAATATACTCTTAGTGCACTCTGAATGGAACGTTACAAGAGAGAAATATTTCTGGTATTCGGGATCAGCGTTTGATTATCACAATAAAACACTAAAGAAAGACTCATCTTTGCATTCCATTTTGTAGATAATATATCAGAGGAATTAAAGTTCGATTAAAGGACAAAAGAAGGTGATTTGAAGTTGACTTCGATCTTTAGATGTTTCAATTAATTATCGGATTTTATTTTTTATATTTTTCAACATTTACGTATCTGTTAAACTATAAGTGAGTAATTTAATGAATCACGTATCATAAAGTATTAATCTTTCATAGTTTTTGTCATATTAAAAGTTGTTTTATTTCCTTTTTGAGAAGTTTGCCGCTTAAATAATAATCAACAAACTTATTCTTGGCCATAAAATCTGCATGTTTGTTACGGTGACAGACGCTTACGACTTTGTGGAATTAAAAAGAATTCCGTCTAAACAATGTGAACATTTAGCACAAGACCAAAAAGATCATACATCAATATATGGTTTTCCATTAATCTTTTTTTTTTCTTTTTTGTATTTCAAGACAGTACTATTTAAAAAAAAATGAGAACGGGGTGATTATGAACCTATATTACCTGATACTTATTTTGTGATGTCCCTTACAATAAACATAAAATATTCTGTTGAACAATGTAATATGTATGTCAATGTGTGAGAAAGGAGAGAAAGGAAGTGTGAATGTATTTAACCCTAAAACTGCTGCAACCGAAATAAATTGGCATTTGCCACCAGTTAAGACACAGGCCTGACAGCCGTCAATGCCTTTTGACGAGGTGCAATACTGTCGGTAGCTTAATGTTTGTATTTTGAAAATGAAATTCCTTAAACTTCAAATGAACTGTTCTAAATTCAGAGCAGGGCAAATCCATTTCATAAATCCAGTAGGTTAAGGGTTAAGCCTGTGTAGTAAAGACCTTATTTTGATAATTTACATAATTTCAAAAGAAATTGTAAATCCGATACGAAAAATCTACATTTCATTGACATATAAAACTAAATTACTTAAATGGTTTATATTGGTACTAAATAAGTACTTATAAATCATAGAAGTGGCATCAGAATTAGCAAATAAGATATTAAATTATTGAAATATTATCTGAATAAAATAAGAGAGCCATAAAAGTATTTCGATTATAGCATGTTTTGTAAAATGAGACTTTTATCTACAGACGTCCATTTTTCTGAATTCCTACACGCTAATGTTGTCTGGGTGATGTGCAAAGCATAATGTTAAATGAGATCGGCAAAGAAGAAGCACATTCATGACAGAGAAAATATGATTTCTTTATGATTGGGCAGTTTATAACATGTAAGATATATGTCTTAAAATATCATATATAAGTATGTTTATTTAAGAATTCCTAAGGACGGCGCATGCGTGGAAAAACGCAAAACCTACTAAATTTTGTTTTTGAACGTTTTATTGTGTTTTCTTTTAAAATTTATATGATAACAGGCCCTCTTTTTATCAAACATCTTTCCAAATATGACCAGGGGAGTATGAAGAATGTGAATGTATAAATTTAAAATATTTACAATGTGATGTATATTCGCCACTTAAAGATTAACAAACTTTAATTAAAAATATTTTAGTTTATCAATGAACATTCTAGGAATTACTTTATGAATGAAAAGAGAAACTGATTTATTACTTTACATATAATCAGTATAAGTTTTTGCCAAGACTGAGCATTTTAGTACTATAACTAAAGGATGTTGAAACAGTATCAAGAAACTATATACTTACAACGTGGATATAGATATTTACATATTATGTTATGAGATGTCTTATAAATTTGATTAATGAATCATAAAGTGATGTTAGAACAATGAAAGATATATAAAGGATTAGAAAAATAGGGTTATTTTAATGAAACTATTTATGAAATGTCGAGTATTTTGTTTGATTTTCAACGTTTCTATTGTATAGCAAATCGTATATAAACTTGATACAAGCGGTGAAAACCCTAGTGAGCTAAGCCATTTAAAGTTGCTTAAAACACATTAAAGAAGGGTTAAGTGCTAAACCAACAATGCAAATAATGTGTCAGCAAGAAGAATGTTAATTTTATGACTAATTCTCTTGCCAGCATTATAGAACATAAAAGAGAGTTCAAATTAGATTAGGTTAACTTCATTTCTCTCAAATTTCATTTTTATTACAGAAGGTTCCGATTTACATATTTAGATTTTTTGTCATTCTGTGAGAACTTTTACATCAAGAAGGGTTTACTGCAATGAGATTCGTTTTAAACCAGCTTATGTCTTAATACTGGACATTTAAGACTATAATAAGCAGCTCATTGATTTGATATCACTACTGTTCACTGTCTCTCTCGACAACAAATCTGCCACAAACGTCGCGCGAAATATATTTTTAGACTTGTGCAGCCTTAACTACTATAAATAAACTCAAATGATCCTAATTATAGATTAAGTGTATCCATTAGATTTATTTTTAGACAGACATCTTTGCATTTGTCAGGAAATGACTTTGTTTAATGCATATAAAGAGGAAGACTATCATTAAATTCCTGGAAACAAAATGAACATTATGGTTATGGTTTTTTTTTTTTTTTCTAAAATATTATTAACATTTTCTGGACACGTGAATGGTTTGTAGAAAGGAGAAGAAAAAATGACGTGTAACCGTATAGTTATGTTAGATGTACACAACAAACCAGTTCAGTTGACATGTTTGGAAAAACAATTTTCGCAAAATATTACATTTATATACATTCGTATTTTGATTTCCCATTGCATTCTACTTGTAAACAGACATCATAGTTTTGACAACATATTATAACTCTATTTTTAGAAAACAAAACACATCACGTTTTTGCTTTTAAATATGTGATTTAAGATAACCATATGTGGCATGAGTTGTTTTTTTCGATTCAGAAACACAAACATATCAAAATATACGGTAAAGATTTCGAATCAATAATAGAAAAAAATTTTGACACGATCATAAATAATAAATATCTAAATAAATAAATAATAAACATAGATAATGTTTGATACTTTCTCTAAAGTAAAAATTCATTCTTCAGAATAACTTCTTAAAATATATATATATATATAAGATCATGAGATTGGAACAAATACATATATCAAACGCACCAGACCATATTTCTCAAGAATTGTCAGATTTTGATGTTCATTTGGCAACGGTTAATAGTCACAGAATCATTATCAAAACATGTATAAGTAGACAAATATATTGATCGGAACTGCCGCCTTTTTTTGTAAAGATTAATACCACCAAAAGAAAAGTTATCCTCACATTTACCTATTTCGTTCAGCACAAAGACAAAACATTGTCACTTTGTAGCATCGCTTTAAGCTATGATCTGTAAAATGCAAAAATACCTTAAATGGCATTGCAATTCAAGAAATAATGTTTTCAATGTTACATACATGAAGTTTCTCAAAAGCAGATTTAATAATACCGAGTCTGCGACTATAAACCATTTGCCTTTTTGTTCTCACTGCTTTATAAGATTCTGCCTTGATAGATTTTTTTCTCCCATGCAGCAATTTCATTCTACCCTGCTATTATAACAGTGCGACCTAAAAAAGCCATAAAGTTAAGCATTGTTTTTCATCATTTACTTCATTTATTATTATTGTAGAATTATTGCGTCTCGTGTAGCAACATTGTTTAACGATTTAAGTATACATTTACTAATGATAGAGAATATATTTAACCTCTCTTTTTTATCAAATCGATTTTCAATGAAGCACCAAACATGAAGGTCATGCTACGACGTTGTCATATGAAACGAATTTTGTTGAAACTTTAAATAAACATTTACATACGTGAGATAAACCATAGCTTACAGAAACAATTCTATTTGTCATATTTTTCATATCATTTTGAGATATGATAAATGATTTACACCTACAAAGCACAGTTTTAGCCTTGATATATAGCAACAAAAGTATCCAAACTAAACATCATAATTAAAAATACTTTTTATTTGTATTATTTTGCAATACAATATGTATTTGGTATTTGTTCATTCCCTCTTATGTCCAAGCTACTGTACATCGTGCTAACAAGCTGAAATATTGAATTTAATAACCTACTTAAAGTTATTTACTACAACAATTAATCATAATTTCACTCTTTAAATGGAAAGTTTAAGCTCTAAGATTGGTTCTATCAACCAAACATTCGCTTCACTTCTAACACATTTCTCACTTTAGAACATTCCGATTCAATGCCTTTCGTGCGAAGTATATTTTAATATCGGTAGATACGTCAAAATAAATAAATAAATTGTCTATTTTACATAAACTAAGTTAAACGTACTTTATGCCCCTGTATCGACTGTTTAGTTATCATTAA